ACACACACACACACAGAGTCATATACAGACAAACAAGACAGTAAGGACGAGCTTAAAAACGAGTAAGGGTTTCATTAGTGTGTACATTTGTTTGGTTATACAGAGAAAACTCTCCATGTCTTTTAAAGAGACTGAATCTGAATAAGAATCCAAAAACTTTTTAACTTCGATTTTCTCACAAGTGAATGTACGTGCGCGCTTGTACATGTGCGAGAGTGCATGAGTCATGCGTACATAATATGGTCACTTTTAAGCACAAGGGGGCTATCCCGAAAAATGTTGTGAAGAGAAAATCGAAGGTAAAGTGTTTGCCCCTTATTCAGTTTCTTTACAAGTCAAGGAGAGTTTTCTCTATAACCAAACAAATATACACCATTGAGACCACCAAACTTATTCTATGGGTAGGGCAATGCCCACTTTTGGCGTAGGTCAATATACCTGGAAACCTCCGAAATCTGGGTTAGCCCGCTCGTCCTTAACAGCGACCATAATATGGTCGCGGGATATGGTCGGGGGTTAAAAGAAATCTTGACCTACACCAAAAGTGGGCATTGCCCTACATATAGGAGAAGTTGGGTTTCATTAGTGTGTACATTTGTTTGGTTATACAGAGAAAACTCTCCATATCTTTTAAAGAGACTGAATCTGAATAAGAATCCAAAAACTTTAACTTCGATTTTCTCAAAACAGCATTTTTCGGGATAGCCCCCATGTCCTTCAAAACGACCATATATATGTATGATCTCCTACATTCGTTCCTGTACTCACCAAAGGCCACGAGGACGCAGAAAAGCAGCGCTGACGTCACCCTCATGACGTGGCCAGCACTCACGAAAAGAAATCACACACGTGCGTATCCCCCTGTTCCCCTGTACTGTACCCTGGACACCAGCTCACGCAGACTCTCTGTCTTGAACCCTGGCGGGGGGTGTTATCCTGGGAAAGAAAACAGGACAATAGAATAATGACTGCTCTCTGCCATGGGGGAAGTTATCCTGAATGAGAAAACAGGACAATAGAATAATGACTGCTCTCTGCCATGGGGGAAGTTATCCTGTAAAGGGAAAACAGGACAATAGAACAATTACTACTCTGTACCATGGGGTGGGTGCTCTGGTGTGGTTTGCTTCTTCGTTCCTACCAAACATCTATCGTCCTTATCTCCCCTCCTTTTTTATGTTTGTTACTCTCTTGTAACACCTCTAATCTTCTGGCGCTCATATGACCTCATGCAGTGGCGAGCGCTGTAAAACCTCTACTAAAACAAGAAAAAAACAATAAAGTACCATGGGGAAAGTTATCTTGTAAAGAGAAAACGGGAGAAAGATATCATGTAAAGAGAAAACGGGAAAATTAGATAAAATTACAAGTTCTATTCTCTGGGGAAAGCTATCCTGCAGGAGGGAAAGAACAGAAAATTATATAATCACTGTTCTGCATTCTGGGGAGAATTATCCTGCAAGGTAAAACTGGAAAAAACACAGTTATGTACTGTTTATTTACTTTCTTGGTACGTTTTTAGTTTTGGTAGAGGTTTTACGGCGCTCGCAACTGCATAAGGTCATATGAGCGCAAGAAGATAAGAGATGTTACAAGAGAGTAACAAACAAAAAGAAGAAGGGGAGATAAGGACGATAGAGGTTTCATAGGAAAGAAGAAGCAAACCACACCAGAGAACGCTGCAAGAGAGAATAGAAAATAATCATACATATAATATATAAATATATTCACCAATCATAACCAAGAAAAGGCTGAACTGTAAAGTACAGCCAACTAGCACAACGACGGACGCACTTGGTTAGGAACAGAACTGAAAACCCCCCACCCCAAAACGTTCTGGGTTCTATATTATATTCCAATCTACAGATAGTTAAAACCATTCAGGAGGCCAGTTGTTTCAACTGTACCAGTCAGTGCCCACATGGGCTGATTGGTACACTGTATCCCAACAGATAGATATTCAAGAAAAAGAAATTCTAAATTCCCGACGAGAGATTCGAACTCACGCATCCTGGGTACTTTTTTGTTGCAGTTTTGGTAAGTGTTTTACGGCGCTTGCAATTGCAATGTGTCATATGAGCGCGTGGGACACATTAAACGTTTTCAGTTGGTAGGGATTTTTGAATTTTGTCCGGGTGGCGGCCCAAGCTTACTGTTATCGACTTAGGACCACCGAGGGATCTTTAACGTGCGCAACTTCCGAGATTTTTCGCCTGGGTACAAAAGCAAAGAGCCAAACTTAAGATGAAGAAATGAACATCACCAAGGCGACAACCAACCACTCACGTCGTAAAAGCCAAAGTGAAATAACAGCAGTGCCCGACTACGGTCTACGAAACATCTCTGGCGGCAGGCGTGACGTTATACACATACATATATATATATATATATATATACACACCGCATTATTTAAAAAAAAAACCAGAAGTCACGGCCTCTAACGCTTCAGCATCACGAACACACAAACGGAACTGAGAGAAAACAAGCGAGTCAGATGAAGAAAAAAAAGTAGGTAAGCACAAAGAAAACACTCTCGTGGAACAAACAAAACCCCAAACACTTTCAACTTTGTTGTATACAAAGGGTTTTTTAAAGCACATATCTACAGGGCAATCGGTGTGCTCAACGGCAATACAACTACTGTCACGATTCACGACAAAGCACATGTTAGACCACAGCTTCACTACGAATTCTACTTGAAATAACTGAAAGTCAACCCCCCCCCCCCCCCCCAAACCCACAACCACCCATACAACCCTGCAGATCACGCTAGAGGTACATGAAAGTGATCACGTGACTTGCATCCACGCAAGGAAAACAAAATGAAATGGAGAAATTGTATTAGTTTAACGGCCAGATCAACACTGTAAGGTTATTTAAGAGGCGGGACCTCCGAGTCTAACGTCCATCTCCGAAAATGACCGAGCCAAGTGGGAAACTCGTGTAGTAAAATGCCTTTCGCAAGGACACAACGTCGAAACGAGCTGAGATCCGAACCCGCAATCTCACGATTATGAGTCCGGAAGCCTAACTACTTGGCCACCGACGCCACAGTAAAAAACAAAAGAACGAATTGAAAACAAAAACACGGCTGGGGGCACAAACCAAGAGGCAGGTAACAATCGAAACACTACACTTCCCTATAATATGCCCGAGAGGAAAACAAAAGAGCAAATTGGAAACAAAAGAGCAAATTGGAAACAAAAGAGCAAATTGGACGGAAACAAAAGAGCAAATTGGACGGAAACAAAAGAGCAAATTGGAAACAAAAGAGCAAATTGGAAATGTTGACACGGCTCGAGGCACCTACCAAGATTCGGCTGCAGTAAAAACCACACCACTGATCTACAGACCCGAGAAGATAGCCACAAGTGTGCGAGGATTATTACAGATCTAATCAATAAATAGACTCCGTCCTTATCCGAAAGCTCATGTGACTGAGCCGGCTCTCAGCTGATCGTTATCACACCGGCCCAAAGTTCAGACCACTCTATCGCAAAGAAAACTTTTGGTGATCAGCTAAGCGAGGTGTCTGTATAATAATATGAATATGACTTATGTTTTCGTAGGGAACAACCTTCAAGCAAATACAAATAAGATGAAAAAAGTATTATTTCCTTGAACAGATCCCCTGCCGGTTTCTTTCTTTTCTTGTGAAACTTCCCACCCGTTTTCTCAGGAACCATATAACGTCGTCAACGTCTTCACAAGCCCCTGTACTTCCCCACACTAGAGCTCAAATAAACTTCCTGATCCCCCCCCCCCCCCCACGTTTTCTTTTTCCAAGGAAACCAACGCACAGAAAGCACCCACGTCTCGGGACCAGCGCTTGGTGTGTGTGAGTGTGCGCGTGTGTGTGTGTGTGTTGGGGGGGGGGGGGGTTCTCCGGGGGCCCGAAGAGGGGCCCCCAATTTCCCCTTTTCCTTGCAATAGGTCTCGGGTTCGAATCCGGAGAGCGACGGAACATTTTCTTCACTAAAAAAATCCTCTCTAAACTTCCTATCTGGGTTTAGAAAAGTATCGGTTGTGTCTCTTTGGACCGTTTTGGCCACAGCCCCCTAATGATTATAGATACCTCTGTGAGTGAGATGTTTTCTTGTGGAGTTTTTTTTTTTAGGGGGGAGGGGGGGGAGCGTTTTACGGGGCTCGCAACTGCATAAGGTTATATGAGCGTGCGGGACACATTAAACTTTTTCAGTTGGTAGGAAATTTTGAATTTTGCCCGGGTGGCGGCCGAAGCCTACTCTTATTATCGATTTTAGACCACAAAGGGATATTTAACGTGCACGCTCATATGACCTTATGCAGTTGTGAGCGCCGTGAAACACTTACCAAAAAAAAAAAAGAAAAGAAAAGAAAAAAGGTCACGTGATGCGCCGTCGCACGTAGGAGACCCGGGTTCCATTCCGGAACGGGGAGACATTTTTATCGAGTATCTCGGTCTGTCTACTGGGATGTTTTATCGCTCTCAGCCCAGGTTAACCCTGGCCTGGCAAGCAGGGTCAAAGTACACATCCTAAATCATCCAAATTGTGTCCATGGGGGCGCAAAAACACAAGCTACATTTACATAAGATCAATCAGCTGCGCTCACAAACCGTCCAGACGTATCATTCAGACATCGCTGAGTAGAACGATAATGTAATCAGTTTCGATTTGAAATGAAAAGTTCAGCTTTATGACACTCCCAAGTGGTTCATGCCAGAGCAAATAAAAGTCAATGCAGAAACCCGTCCTTGTTTGGATCACTTTAAAATGTAGGTGATTTTTACGCCCCCATCCAAATAATTTCGGTCATTTAGGACACAGTTTTAGTTTTAGTAGGCGTTTTACGGCACTTGCAACACAATAAGGTCATACAAGTACCGAAGATAAGAGGAATTACAAGAGAGTAACAAAAACCAAAAAAAAAAAAGAAGGAGGGGAGATAAAGACGATAGACGTTCGATAGGAAAGAAGAAGCAAAACACAGCAGAGCACCCGCCAACCACCCACATTTAGGAGACAGGCTTTGACCCTACCTGCCCGCCAGGGACGCAATGTCCCAGGACATGGAATAAAAATTCTCCCAACAGGGGAATCGAACTCAATACTTCTACGTACGATTGCGAACACGCGTAATCATTACACAACAGACATTGGGGTTACCTTTTTTATTCAGGCACAGAGAATGATCAAAATGAGTAGATCTAGAGGGAGAAGACCACACAAAAACGCCTACAGACCTCACGCGGGAGCCAAAGTACAGAGTTGCTCGCAACTGCATAAGGTCATATGAGCGCCAGAAGATTAGAAGTGTTACAAGAGAGTAACAAACATAAAAAAGAAAGAGGGTAGATAAGGACGATAGATGTTTAATAGGAAAGAAGAAGCAAACCACACCAGAGCACCCGCCAACTACCCACAGGGGGGGGGGGGGATGGGAGAAGAGAAGTATCTTCAACCTTGAAGAAAACAAATCGACGAACCATCGTTACAGCTTTATAAAACTGTGCATTTTTTTCTGTTTTCATTAGAGTTTTACGACACTGGCAATAACAGATAACATTTGTATAGCGCAAATCCCCGCTCAACAGAAAGCTCTATGCGCTTCACAATACAATTAGGTCATATAGAAATTAGAATATAGGATTAGAAATGTTACAAGAGAGTAACAAACGTAAAAAAGAGGAGAGGTGTTTAATATAATAAGGACGATGGATTTTTTTATAGATTAAAAAAAAAGCAAACAACACCCGAGCACCCGCCAAACGCCCACTAAAACCGTTCTCCTACACATGCATGCACCATAAAGGCAAGAATCACAAGGGGACATCAATACATTGCCCTTTGAGTTCTGAGCAAAGAGAGACACACCGACACAATAGCGGGCCTTTAGTGCAAGGTGGAAGTAAGACAAGACAACAACAACAACAACAACCCCCCCCCAAAAAAAAA